CCATTGCAGCTAATGCCCTGATTGTTGAAGTTTGCTTCAAGATGCTGCGGTAAAAGATTTTGTTTTTTCAGTTTATATTTTCCAGCAATAATAATAGCTCGTCTTAGTTATTAAAAATTTGTTAATATGTTAGTTTGTTAACAGATCATGGCTTTATTTTAGCTTTTTTAGTTGTAATTTGCTCCTGTAAATATGCATGAGATTGCTGTCAACAATTAAGTAATTATGTTTTAATTCATTCTTAATAAAAGAGTGCAATATCAATATTGTTCTCTTCTATTCTGTTGTTTTTCAAACACACCTCAAATTCTAGCAACTACAAGAAACATTTTCGTCAGATTTCTTGCTAATAAAACAATGAAAAATAGCCACTGTTCAGATTAAAATCTGAAAATCTTATTTATTGTTTCACTGTTTTTAATTCAAACACTTTCAATGATAGATTATTGATGAATGATTTTTCCTCTTTGCTTTTCCGTTGATTCATCAACGGATAAATACAGGAGAAGTCCAGCCAGAAGGTTTGATACAGATTCTAGAGATTGCAACTGATATATACAACTAAGTAAGATTTAAACAAATCAATTTTGAATGATTCATAACATTATCCTAGGACTAACAATAACAAACATTAGTAATAACACACAGTATTCTTCTGTTATGCCCCCTTAAAGAGTGCGGGTAAGAACTCCAGTCTTAGATTTGAGATCAAGAAATCGTTATCTAGGAAGAGGCTTAGTTAGAGCATTAGCAAGTTAATCTTGGATTTGAGATCAAGAAACTGTTGTCTAGGAAGAGGCTTAGTTAGAGCATTAGCAAGTTAATCTTAAGAGGAAACATGACAACACAGAGAGCATCACTTTAGACTTGACCATGAATAAAATGAAAAATAATACAACATGTTTCATTATTGAATAAAAGACCAGGTTGGAACAAAGTTGGATAGGCCCAACATTATCACAATAAATGACTGGACAGTAGGGAATCTTAATACCAAGACTTGTTAAAAGAGAACAAAGCCAATTTAGTTCAGTAGCAGTGTTAGCAACTTAGCAATATTCTATCTCTGTGGATGATTTGAACATATTCCATTGCTTTGAAAGTGTTTAAAAGAAAAGTGTTTACGAGAAGAAATGAAAATAGGAAGAAGAGAAGAGACAACAAAGATTAAATTTGAATTTATTTCAGATTGAATGAATAAACTAATTGCATACATTTATTGTAATCGTTACACATATATATTCAAAACTAATAAAACAGAATTGCAAATTTCTAGCATGAAATCATGTTATGATCTGTTAACATGATAACAGATTAACCAACTCCTAAAGATTAGGAAAATAGCTCATTATTTGCATGAGAATTAGAAATAACAGAAAAGATCTTCAACAGCTCCTTCTTTGATAGCTCAATAAAGCAATCTTCAACACTTCTCCTTGTTTGAGGAGCTGCAAACTCCACTCTTTTATCTTAAAAACTCAAACCTGTTTACTGGCAATGGTTTAGTAAACAGATCAATCAATTGATTTTCAGACCTGCAATAAATCAATTTAACTTCACCATTTTTCTGCACCTCTCGTAAAAAATAAAGCTTGATGTTAAAGTGTTTTGTTTTTCCATGAAACACTGGATTATGAGAGATTGCTATAGTTGCTTGATTGTCAACTGAGATTTCAGTTGTTTCTTCTTCTTCCATGTGTAAATCTTGTAATAACTTCTATAACCATAATGCTTGATTTACTGCAACTGTGACTGCAATAAACTCTGCCTTTGCAGTAGATTGAGCCACGATATCTTGCTTCTTGGATGACCATGAAAATATTGCAGATCTTAGATTAAAACAGAATCCAGAGGTGCTTCTGTTATCAATGGATCCACCTCAATCACTATCAGAAAAACCATGTAGTTTTAACTCTTGACGCTTCAAAAATTTAACACCAAAGCTACATGTCCCTTTGATGTATCTCAGAATTCTTTTGGTTGCTCTCATATGAATTTCGCTTGGAAAATGCATAAACCGAGATAGAAGACTTGTTGCATGAAGTATGTCAAGTCGGGTTGTTGTTAAATACAGCAAACATCCAATCAAGCTTCTGAATTTTTCTTCATCTACTCTGGCAGTGCCATCTTCTTTTCTAAATTTTTCCTTTTGATTAATTGGAGTAGCTGTCGGCTTGCAATTCTACATATGGAATTTCTTCAGGATTTCCCTTGAATACTTCTTTTGGCAAATGAATATTTCTTCTTTGCTTTGCATGATTTCCATTCCCAGAAAGAAACTCATGAGACCAAGGTCGGTCATTTCAAAAACTTGCATCATATTCTGCTTGAATTCTGCAACCTCCACTGTATTGTTTCATGTCACTAAGAGATCATCAACATAGAGTGATATGATAAGCACATCATCATTGATTCTCTTCACATAAAGTGTTGCTTCATATAAACTTTTCTGAAATCCAGAACCTGTCAAATAATCATCAATTCTACCATACCAAGCTCTAGGTGCTTGTTTCAACCCATATAAAGCCTTCTTTAGTAGATAAAATTTGTCTTGTTTTCCTTGAATCATAAAACCAGTTGGCTACTCAACATAATTTTTTCTTGTAGAATGCCATTTAAGAAGGCTAATTTAACACCTAACTAGAAAACTTTCCAGTTTCTGTGTGCAGCAACAACAAATAATAATCTAATGGTATCCATCCTTATTACAGGTGCAAATGTATCTGAATAATCAACACTATAAATCTAAACATACCCTTTAACAACCAACCTAACTTTATACTTGTTGATGGTGCTGTCTGCATTCAGTTTAGTCCTGAATATCCACTTCACTCCAATAACATTTTTTCCTAATGGTCTGTCAACTAGTTTCCATGTGCAGTTCTTCTCAATCATGGATTTCTCCTCCTGCATTGCTATTAGAGAATAATATAAATCATATCTTGGGACCTCACATAACAGCTTAAGCTATTGGGTTGAGATGGTTCTTTGACATGGTATCAGAGCCTTGATGACCAAGTGGTCACGAGTTCGAATCTCATCATCCTCATTTATTTGATAAAAATTAAGTACAAGGTAATGTGGATCTGTGCAAGTTTCAAGTCCAAAGGACTTTCACTTGAAAGGGTGTGTTAGAGAATAATATAAATCATATCATGGGACCTCACCTAACAGCTTAAGCTATTGGGTTAGGATGGTTCTTTAACAATTGCTTTTTGCCATTCTCGATTTTGTTTTGCTTCTTCATAGCTTTCTGGTTCGCAGATAGCTACATTGCTCCTTTGATAAATATCATCAAGGGATTAGGTGCCTCTAAGTGGTGAATCATCAAATGATTTATCCTGCAATGAATTTGCCAGCTGCACATTTCTTTATGAGTCTCTCCACTCCCATTGTTCTTTTTCATGAAAATGGATATCCCTTGTAATAACCATCTTCTGAGTTTGAGGATGATAAACTTTATAGGTTTTAGAAACATCACTATAGCCAGCAAAGATTCCTGACATTGCCTTCTTGTTAAGCTTATCCCTTTTGATCTGTAGAACATGAACAAAACTAATACTGCCAAAGATTTTAAGAAAAATCAGTGAAGGTTTGTAGTTATACCAAACTTCAAAAGGTGTCTTTTCTTCCAGCAATTTTTTTGGAAGTCGGTTTTGAAGAAAGATAGTTGTGTTAGCTGCTTCTGCCCAAAACATCTTTAGCAAATTCTTTTCATGTAGCATGCATCTCACCATTTCTATAATGTATCAATTTCTCCTCTCACTAACTCCATTCTGTTCAAGAGTGTAAGGGGTAGTGTATTGATGTTCTATGTCAGCTTCTTCACAGTAGAGATTGAATTCTGATAAAGTGTATTCTTTGCCATTGTCTGACCAAATGGATTGAATTCTGCAGCTACTCTTATTCTCCACATTCTTCTTAAATCGCCAAAAAATCCCAGTTACTTCTAACTTGTATTTCATAAAGAAAATCTAGCACATTCTAGTAAAGTCATCAATAAAAAGTATGTAATATCGACTACCTTTTATTGAAGGTGTGCTAAATGGACTAGTAACATCTGTATGAATCAACTGAATTTTTTATGTAGACCTCTATGTTGACTTTGGAAACAGTTTTCTGTTTTGCTTACCAAATTGACAAGTATTACAATTTAGCAACAGATCACTGAATGAAGGCACTTCTCTTACAACTTTATGTTTTTCATATTGATCATTCGTTGTTGATGAAAGTGACCCAATTTCTTATGCCACACTTCCATGTCATTTAGTTTTGTTGGAAAGGTTGTGTACTCCTCCTTAAATGGTAAAAATGAAAAGCTTTTGCCTCTCATTTGGGCTTGAAATATTTTTTGTCCAGCAGCATAAAAAATATAGCAATATTGATTTTTGAAAACCACTTTCATGCCTTTCTCTATTAATTACCCAACACTCAACAAATTCTGATCTATATCAAGTATATAAAGAACATCAGAAATAGTTTTTGTACCCGAGTTGGTAATGATGACAATTGTTCCTTTTCCCTTTACTGCTATATAATCACTATTTCCAATTCTGACCTTTGCAACTTCAATAGTTTGCAAATTTCTGAAGAGACTCTTATCAGAAGTCATGTAATTTGTGCATCCACTATTGATTAGTCAGTGATCTCAGGAAGTCTGGACTGAAAAACATGTAGCTACAAACATGTGATCTTCATCATCTTGACTAGCAACTTGAGTATCTTCATCTTATTTCTGAAATTTTATTTTGCAGATGATTGCTTCATGTCCCATTTGATTACATTTACTGCACTTTGTATCAGGTCTCTTCCAGCATTTGAATGGTGGATGACCTAACTTGTTACAGTGTTGACATGGTGAAAAGTTTCTCTTAAGAAATTTTTCTTTGTTCTGGAATTGACTGACAGTAGTCTTACTATTGCTTGAAGTCTGAAGAATTTCTTCTTATTAGAATTGGGATACTTTATTTGTAAAGCTCCTTTAGTAACATGATCTTGCCTCATAGTCTCCGTTGCTCTTGAGCATGCAAGGCATTGATCAATTCTACCAAGGTGATCTTGGATAGATCCTTTGTATTCTTGATGGTGGTTAAAGATGCTTCATATCTTTTAGGCACAGTTACTAGAATTTTCTCTACAATTCTGCAATCAGAGAAATTTATGCCAAGTAACCTTACCTTGTTGACAATTCCAAGCAATTTGTCTGAATACTCTTTAATGGTTTCAGAATCCTTCATTCTATGTAGTTCAAATTCTCTTATCTGATTAAGACTTTGCATGCCACGAATTCTTTCATCTCCTGCATACTCCTTCTTCAAATAATCCCAAACATCTTTAGCTGATTTAAGAGACATAATCCTAGTGAAGATTGTTGTGGAAACAGCTGCAAATAGACAAGCTTTTGCTTTTGATTTTCTTGTTTTTCTCTTTTTATGATTTTTTATCTGAGCTACTGTTGGATTATTTGGTAAAGGATGAACTTCATAGTCTTTTTCAACAGCTTCCCAAAGATCCAACGCCTCCAAATAAGTCTCTATTTTTACTGTCTAGAGTTGATAATTTTCTCCATCAAAGATGGGAGAAGAAATATGAGAGAAACTTGTTTCAGCCTCCATTACAGGTCCCTTTAAGATAAAATCTCTGATATCAAATGAAAGTGTTTAAAAGAAAAGTGTTTACAAGAAGAAATGAAGATAGGAAGAAGAGAAGAGACAGCGACATTAAATTTGAATTTATTTCAGATTGAATGAATAAACTGATTGCATACATTCATTGCAATCATTACACATATTTATTCAAAACTAACAAAACAAAATTGCAAACTTCTAGCATGAAATCATGCTATGATCTGTTAACATGATAACAGATTAACTAACTCCTAGATACTAGGACAACAACTCATTATTTGCATGAGAATTAGAAATAACAAAAAAGATCTTCAACAGCTTCTTCTTTGACAGCTCCATGAAGCAATCTTCAACATGCTTTTTAAGACTCTAAGAGACAGGATTTTTGCCCAGATAAATAACATACGCCCCTGTGGAGTTATTATATGTTTTAATGTTTTAGAGTTCTCTACTATTTCGTTATTTTAGTTTAGGGATTAGATTTTATTAAATGTAATAAGTATTTTAAATTATAATTTGATTTATTGGTTTGAAGGAATATTTTAAAGTTTACTAAATGCCATGTGAATTTTATATATATTTGTTTTATGATATGTATGTTTAGTATAAGTTGAGTGTTCTTATAATACTGTTATTGCGTCGCCGATCGTGGACTCAAAATTCAGGTAATGACATGAGCCATCTCCAATTATAATGTGGTATGACTCGGTGTATGGAGTATGTATTGAAAGGTTGCTTAAGTCAGAAGTGACATGGTGAGAAACTCCATTGTCTAAGAGCCAGGTTAGATAAGTAGAAGAACCGGTAGCATAATGTGCTTGTGGTTGCCATTGTGAGGTAGGATGAGTGGATGAAGTTGAGGAGTTTTTGTTGGGCGAGGAAATTAGAACCAACCGAAAAGAGGGACACCTTCTAACAGTGCGGCCTTATTGTCTGCAGATTTGGAAATATTCCGAGTATGGACGAGAGGAACAGTTGCCAGGAGATGAAAATGGCCCACCACTTGGTGGTACGAAATACCTATTGGTATTATTGTTGGATGGATGCCAAGAGTTGTGGGAGCTGGAGTCTGAATGAGGGCACTATGGTGTTGTGTTTCAACTAGTGGGATTTGTAGTGGCTGGGAAGGGAGATGGTTCTCGCGTTGTTGTTTGTAAGGAGGCTTCAAAGTTGGGCAGATTTGTCATGAAGAATGTAATTGAGGAATCTCTAGCTTGAACAACACAAACCAGTTCCTTGTAATCATCTCCAATACCATCTAAGACTTTCTCTGTGAGATCCTCTGTACCAAGTAGGACTCTAATAAGAGCTAGTTCGTCATATCACGCTTTTATGTTCTATAAAAAATCAAATACACTTTCATAACCTTTTGCAAGGTCTTTTAGTGGAGTTTTAACTTATTTGATGTGTTCATGAGAGGACTTGGCATATGTGTTGGCTAAGATATCCTGTGATTCACAATTGAGCAATGAATGGAATAATGGCTAGAGAGAGAGAGTTAACGATGGCATTGAGAATGAGCTAGTCTTGTCTAATCCAGAGAACATATTCTGGATTTGGGATGGTGGTATTATTGTAAGTAATGTTCGTTGTGGGACTTGGTTTTAAGCCATCAATATAGTTTTAGGAGGTCATACCAAGTAAATAGGGTATGAAATTGCAATTTCCAGGAGATGTAGTTGCCGGATGTTAATGTAAGAGGAGTTTTGGCAGCCACATTAAAGCTGACGAGGGTATTACGAGTTTCATTGGTGTTGTGAATGATGGTGTGGGAAGAGTTTGCCATGAGTGAGGTAAACCAAAGGAAAAAAATAAAAAAAGGCTATCACTTAGTGCCATGATAGAATTATTGATGAATGATTTTTCCTCTTTCTTTTTCAATGATTCATCAACGTATAAACACCGGAGAAGTCTTAACCAGAAGGTTTGTTCCAGATTTTAGAGATTGCAACTGCTATATAGAGATAAGAAAGATTTAAACAAATCAATTTTGAATGAGTCATAACATTATCCTAAGACTAACTATTGCAGATGTTAGTTATAACACACAGCAGTCTTCTTGTTAGTTTGGAGTGCAACTTCCAGATATATTTGGTGCGGGCTGTGAAAGGTCAGCGTTCTAAGATGGAATATGTGAAAAGAATAAAGTCAGAAGGGGGGGTCGTCATTCTATTCACAGCCCAACCTCAAAAGTTCTTCACGACAAACCGGACGAAGTAAATTGACATCAAGATTTAACTGGCAACTTCAAATAAATATTCAGATCTGTTTGGTAAGACTCGAAAAACCATAGTTTGCAGCAGAATAATCATATTTGACAAAGGATATTGATAGAGTAGCTTAGGGCTTCTGCATTTCCTCCGAGGATGAACTGCTATTAAGAGAATTGAGGGAACGATCTGATTTCAAAGGCTTAGAATCACCGGATTGGCTATTAAAGGAGCTGCGTTCGACAAGCTCATTTGACTTTGGATTAAACTTGAATGATCTCTCAAATTCTTTAGCATTTCCAGTGTCGATGACTAATTTATTGAGTTTCTGCTCCTGCAAACAGAAAGTAAAATAATAAACGAGGGAACTGCAGTTAGGGCACAGAAGGGAAATACATCCAGCAACGGCAATAGAAACATTACGATAGATTAATGCAGGACCATACAGAAACGAGATATATGGACAGGTCTACAAAGTTAATTAGGAATGGACCGCAGCATGTTTTCTAAATTAGTTACTCTTTGGGTGATGCAATTCTCATTGCATGGGATTGATTCTCTCCTTTCTAGTTGTAAATCCTCAGGGCATAGATGCATAAATCTTAGAAGTGCTTACATTCTGTAGTGTCTCTAGCTTTCTTTGTAGCGCCTCATGCTCAGCCTGAATACGGAAAGGAACACCATGCTTTTGATAAACATTGTTTTGAGCCAAGTCTTCGTCAATGTCACTGGCAGTAGTTGCAAAAGGATGATTTGCAGGAATCCATCTGACCATGTCAGGGTCAACATTTGGAGGTATTGAATCCCCTTCTTTAAGGAAAATTGTTGGTCTTTTCCACTGGTATGCTCGTGACCTCCTTCTCTGATGGATGGCTTGTTGTTCTTTGGTTAGTGTAACTGGAGCTAAGCGATAAACCTTTCCACACATCTCAACGGTTGAATTGCTCTTGCCAACTTTAACCAATGGATTATTGAATGGATCCTCGTATTTGAGAGGACTTGATCTGTGGATAAGAGGTTCCACAATGAAACCACGTTATTATCATTCAACCAGCATGAGATGACAAAAGCTTGGCACAAAATGTGATCCTTAGAACACCTAGTTGAGTTAAGAAAACAGAGAGGCAATGGAGGGGATGATAAAGAAAATTAGTTTCTACAAATAGAGATCATGCAATGGCAATCATTCTCCAGGAAAAGAAGTGGGAAGTCTTGGCAAATCATTCAAACCACAGAAAAGTAATTGTTCTACAATGTCCACTGAGACGATGCAAGGAGAAGATAGCAGCAGAAAGCATTGGGGATTGAAATCATACATGCCTCTTCTATCAGATCTCAGCTGGCCACGTCTAACAAGATCAGCTACAGAGCCAGGACGGCTTTGCCTCGACTTCCTAACCACATATACTCTCACAGCAACAACCAAAAATGCAGTAGCAACACATAGCCATATTAGAAAATTGCTTCCAGAAGCTCTTCTCATCTGATAAGCCAAAAGCCTCTATAAATAAAAGACTAGAATAATCTACAATTAGAACACCAAAAGGCCCAAAACACTACTTATGAATCACATGATCTTTTCATCAAAGAAAGCCTAACAACCTAACCTCAAAAAATCACAATATCAAACAAGCATTGCCATCTCTTGAATTGATCAAGTTCAGAAGTACATTGTACCCATTCTTGCTTCCATTTTACTGCGATAGCTTAATGAAAAACTTATAACAACTTGCACATTTTTACTTCTACAACGTAAATGTCATGTTATGATGACATTGTTGCAGTTTCAAATCCAATGCCTGGTGGTTCAATTCAAGAAGCCTGTCCAGTTCCTAAAAATTCCACATTTTTCCCGAAAACACAAGCTTTTCCAAGACTACAAAAACAAACACCCATGCTTCCAATTATAGGAATTCATATTCAACGATGATTCAAAAGAACTCGAAAGCTCACCACAAAAACAACAGGAGGGAGAGTGGCAATCATTCCCTGAAATTTGGAAAAAGGGTCTTTTTTCCAATCCAGGAGCGTAGTATCACTCTCACTCTCTTTCTTGTTGGCCACTGCTTTTGCCACATCTTGAACACATTGCTGCTGCTCTTCCTCCTCCTCCTCTTTGGGATTCTCCACATTATCATTATTTTTATTAATTGCTTTAAAGCGAAAACTTGGATTAATTAATAAAACTCGATTGCATCTGGGTTGTAAAGAAGACAAGACAAAATCTCTCCCGAATTCCACTACCTTCGGAGAAAACCGGTGTTTCGATGCCCAAAAAGATGTCGGCGGCTACATAACATCAAATATCATAGTACAAAATAACATCGAACATCATAGCACGCTATACGTAATAATTACAAAAAAAAAAAAACAACAACAACAAGAAGAAAAGGGGATGATGATGGTAAGATTAAAGAATAAAAATCATGATTAATTAATTACCTGGACAGAGAAACAGTGAAATTGAGGAGTCCAAGCTGATGGTGATGATGTTGTTGTCGGTGTCATTTTCAAAAGAGATTTTTTAGGAGTCTAAAAAATTTCATTTCAAAATCAACATAAATTGATGATGCACCAGTGCCATCACTTGGTCCAAAATCCAACCACAAGAGCCTCACGTTTCAGTCCCTTCCTCACCTGCTATTAGCATTTTGAGGCACAAGATTAACAAGTGGATCCGTGGCGCAATGGTAGCGCGTCTGACTCCAGATCAGAAGGTTGCGTGTTCGATTCACGTCGGGTTCAATTCCCTTCTTTTTAAGAGATTTTTTGGTTTTCTTTTTTGAGATATTTTTTTGGTTCCTGCCTTCCACTTGCCTCGAATTGCCGAGAAAAATCCTTGTCACCCCCCCTGCATATTATCATATATAAAACACTAAAAGACACGGTAAAATCATTGGAGTCCATTTTATTGAGTTTTTATTTGTATTTGTGGTTATGTTTTTTTAAAAAAAATAAAAATAATATTTTAATGTTAATATCAAAAATAAAATTTTAATATATTTCTAAGCAAATAAATATTTTAAAAAATAAATGTTATTATAATATCAAATACTAATTTACTCTATTTGTTTTTGCATTTTTTTTATGTAATTTTATTTTGCATACTGAAAAAAATAATGTTATTAAAAATATATTATTAACATTTTTTTTTGGCATGTCCTGAAAAAAAAAAAAACAAAAAGCCTTGAACATTTTTATTTTTTTTTTATATGTATCTCATGACCGAGGACGATTCAACTCAGCCTCGAGCCCTGCCAGCCACTCACTTTTTGAGTCTTGACATGGTGTATGGTATACGGTATTTGAACCCTGAGCTATTAACCAAATCTCGTTTTCAGTACCCCGTGATCTTTTGTTGTGGAAAAAATCTCTCAAATGGGTAATCTATTAGGGGTTAATTAGACGTTTCCCTTTAAACTCCTCTGCTAACTTCAAGGGGATTCGGTAATTTTTTTCTTAATTGAAAAAAAGACAAAAAGATTAGCTCTTAATGCACTCCCCAGTTCTCAATTTAATCTTAAAAGAGTCATGGACTCGGTCCCAAACATTTAAGACATTTCCAAACTGGGTGCTTTGACAGTTTCAATAAGCTTTTCATTAAATGTTTCCCACAGAGCATAAGTTTGTAGTAGAAATACAAATTAGATGGACCCAGTGATAAATGAACTAGGATTTGGGACTTAATTGAAAGAATCTTTTGTTTTGTTCACTCTGCTAAGAATAAGTAATTGTGGTAGGGGCTGAAGTGGGGTCTCCATTTTTTCTTCTTGGTGACAGAATTGGTCAAGTCCTGAAGACACTTTAGCCGCCTTGATATAAATATATATATATATATATATAGTTAGCAAATTCAAACTCGGACACTCCATTGAAGAAGATGCCTCCCTCCCCCACTAGATCTTAGAAAATACTTAAGATGAAGATTGTGGCATGACTGATTTGTTACAAGAAGGCGCAATGAGTTATTCTGGCCCTTTTTCTGGACCATGGAGAGCAGTCTTATTTTATTGAATGGCTCCGGGGGGAGAGGAATTGATTGCTAATGAATAAATAAAGAAATTATACCATTACCTTAACGCCGACTAACACCACCTTTTTTTAGGTCAGGACAATAAAGAGGATGATTGGATTACTATTCGATAATGAGTGGTTCTTATTGCGTTACAATATGTTTTTTAATTTTTTTTGTTTTAAAATACATTTAATTAATAAATTCTTAGGCGCATGATGTGTTGATTTTAGAAAAACAATATTATTTTAATATATTTTCAATTAAAAAATACCTTTAAAAAGTTTCGATACCTAATTATTTGTTTAGAAATATTTAATCATATCTCAGTGACTATTTAATGGCTTTTTTTTTGGTTTATAGCTAGTGGGTTTCTTGACTCTTATGCTAATCAAGTAACATGGTTGCCTAATTTATTATAATTAATTTTCCTCCTCGACAAGTTGATATGTATAATGAATGATTTGTTGTTGGTGTTGGGTATCAGTTGACAATGTAATTCGACAGTTTTTTTTATTATTATTATTCTTTTTCCATATGAAAGGTATTAATAGGAATTCTTATTATTATTTTAGAATTTAAACCGGTTTAATGGATTCACTGAGATAGACTAATTCTATTCAAAAAATTGAATTGACCATAAGCATCATTTTTTATTCCATTTAAAAAAATTTAGAAAATCAATCCTGTCAATCTGTTATCTTGATTTTATCTTAAATCAATTTCAGGCTGGGTTTTAAATAATACTTTTTAAAGTAATTTTTAATAATTTTAATTTTGATGGAACAACATTCAAATTAAATATTTTTTTTAAGTGCATTACCGGACACAATTAATTATAAAAAATAAATACAGACACAAGAACTAATTTAAACATTTTAAAAAAGATAAAATGAAAGATGACATATAAACAAACTCAGCTCGGAGGAATGAAACACTTGATCTCTTGACGGAGATCAATATGGCACTAAAAAAAATCAAAATACAGTTGGTGTTTATGATACATTCAACCATCCCGTTTTTTGCCACCCATGGCTTTACCTACCATGAGCAGTTGAAAACTTTCATCATCTTCCAATACAATGGCTCCTCTGGGGTATACATGTCGGCGGTTGCCACTTTCCGACACCATTGCGGCCTGTGGATTAATATCTCTATCAAGACATTAATGTTTGTTTCCGACCATAGTTTTGAAGTAAAAATGATTTAGATCTGGCGAGGAGGGTGGAAACTATTTTATTTTATTTTATTTTTAGATTATGATTTTGAAAATGTTTGATTAATTAATCTCACTGATTTTTTTTTAAGAATATAAATTGAAAAAAATACAATTTATATCTTTTTTTAACCCAAGGCATTGACCAGAAATGAACAAAAAGACCACAACCAGTCCAAGTGATCCTTTTGTGAGATTTTTTTTAAAGTATATTTTTCACCTTTTAACAGGAGTTTCTTTTCTTGATGATGACTTAGCTTAGTGATGAATCCTAGTGCAGCTATAGCTGTTTAACCGCTGGGCTGCTTCCACTCAAAAATCTTCCAAGTAAAGCGTGTCATTGCACGACCACAGCTGTGGATATTTATTGGTTAATGTTGACAAGTACCTCTGGCCTTCAGGAATCCTCCCCTTCGATATTTTGTGATGTTTTAAGAAATGTGATTAATTGTGAAGATAAGAATAAATATATTTTAAATAATTTCAAAATAAATTTTATTAGATAAATCGTATCTTTTTTATTATAATTGTTTTTGCCTTTTGTTTTTCAAAACAATTCTTTTTTATTATAACTTGTCTTTACAGTAAATCTAATATAATTCAAGTTAATATGAGTTAATTTATTTTTTATATTTTATAAAAAATAAAAATAATAATATTTTTATTAAAAAATAAAAAACCAATAAAATATAAATTTTTAACCAAATTACTTCCTGTATTTTTATTAAAAGTTGACCTGACTTGACATAGAATCACACAATTCAACCCACCATGTCAAGTCTTACAACAGTGCTATTTTCAACACTCTTCTACTCTACCATCGTTCAGAAATGATATCATAACCATCCGAAGAGCAAAATAGAAGTTCCTCTCAGCCTAATTTCCATCCAATCAAAAATAAAATAAATAATAAAAATTGTTGGGCACAGAAAATAGATTCCCTCGGTTATTACTCTTTTTTTTTTTTCCTGTGAAAAACAAGTTAATAAATCCCATAACCAATGAAGAAATAATGAGAAAGGAAGGCACAAACAATTATAATTAATACATTAATATATATATTTTTGCTCGCATTAAACCCTTCTTAATTGCTATGTGGGAAAATGTTTGAAATTTACACAAACTTAAATCCATAAAAATACAGAAACACTACTCATTTATAATTAATTCCATCTTCAATCTTCCTTGATCCTTTCTAAACCCTAAATTCCTACTATAACTAAAATTAATTTCAAATACTGAATTGACTAATCCCAAGCACAATTACCAACAAGGATTAAACTACTGGCTATAAACATTTTTTCTTAAGACATATACAAATAAGCTTTAATTAAGCTAGGGCAAGAACCTATTAGCATCATCTTCACGCTCCTTTAGGCTAGCCTCAGTTTCAACTCCACCACCACCACCACCACCACCATTAGAAGAACTCGAACCTGAAGGCAAACCACCACACTTCTGACACCGGGTAACCACCAAAATCTGACGGCAAGAAGGGCAAGAAGAGTGAGACCCAAGCCATGTGTCAATACAGCTCACATGAAACCCATGTCCACACTGAGGCAACACACGGATTTCATCTCCAGCGGAGAATTCCGTCAAGCAAATTGCACAATCGGGGAGTTTCCCTGAGAAATCTTCAGAGAAGGTTTGTTTAGGGAGAGAGCGGAGGACTTTCTTTTTTAACCCTTTATTGGCGACTGCAGGGGGAGGAGGGGGGACTGGTGGTGTGGGATTCCGGGATGAGAAGCGGCGGAGCCAAGCGCAGCGAGCTACAGCGATGAGGCCAAGAACGCAAATTAGAGCGCAGAGGAGTGCTGCTAGTATGACCATGAAGTCTGAGTCCACCGTGGCTGACGCTTGTGGAGGCGACCCAGTGGTGGTCGCCGAAGAGTTCGCGACGGCGTTTAGGAAGCTGAAAGGACGAGCCATGTGAGCGAGATGAGTAGAGACTAAAGAGCGGCTCTGTTTTGTTCCTTTTTCTTAGCTTTTCAAGAGAGAGAGAGGGAGGATGAGGGAGAGAGTGTTGTCTTCTTTAATCAAAAGTAGGGGGTTTGAGTGTTTTTATAGGTAAGGAATAAAAAGAGGCCACATTAAATATTGAAAATATTGTTTTACCTCTCTCCTATGTACTACATTTTCCTTTTCTGTTGATTTTGAGTTGTTTTTTTTTTTAATAGTTTATCGTTAATTAATATCTTCAAGTTAGTTTAAACATTAATTAATATCAATTTCTTCTTTGAATAATTATAAAAATACATATATTTATATTGATATGGTGTATTTATAAAAATAAATAAATTATTTTGAACATTAATTTTAAGTAGACTTTTAATAGCTAAGTTAGATAAATCTCAAGAAGTTGGTTTAGTTGCTAAAGTAAAGAAAATATGCTATCTTCTTTTATTTTTTAGATTTAAATCTCGAAGTAAGTCAGCATCTAATGTAATTTACGTTTCTTTTTTAAAAATACATCGGGTCAATCTTGAAGATTGTCTAAATAAAGAAGTGAGTCTAGATTGAAATGCATCCATGCATCCATCTATAATTGAAAAAAAAGGAGTTATTTTTAGAAATTTCTATCAAACATACTTTTCACTTAAAATTTTTTAACTTATTTTTGTTATAAATTATTTACATAAAAATATTTTTTAAAAGTATAACTTAATATCAAAAATTAATTTTTATAAGCAGAATTTTAATCTAAATTGATCTACTATCATTAACATAGTTAACTAAGATCGAGGGACTGAACTTGGTGCTTCCACTCCACCAAATTTTCACAACCTTAATTAATGTTTTTTCTAGATTAATTTGTCCATGCCTACCATTTTTTTTTAAAATAAACTTCTCTCTGATCCTATTCTCTAATTTTTTTAACCGAGTAATGCTATTCTAGTATGAAATTTATTTAAGATTAGTTAATTAACCTCATAAATTCAATTAATACATTTTTTGTAAGTCAAGTATGAATATTATATAAGATTATCATTATTTTTTAATCTAATTTAATTTTCTGCTCATTTCTATGATTGGAATTTTACATCACTTCACGGGGTGATAAAATTTTAAAAAGTTAGGGCTTATTTTTTTTATATTTTAAAAATATTTTTTATATTTTCAAATTAGTTTAATATATTAATATTAAAAATAAATTTAAAAAATAAAATAAAAATATTTTAAAAAACAATTATTATCACATTAACTGTTATCGCCGGCTTCCTTTCTTTTTCTGGAAAAAAAGTAAGCTGCTTTCGAAGTTGAGAGGAGAATCACGTTGTGATATTGCTCTGCAAAAGACAAGCGAGGAGACCCCATCTTCCCCACCAAACAATAATTAAATAAATAAAAATTAATTAAATTAATAACCTTTTTGTTACCTTGTCATTTAAGCTTGTTCTTGTAAAGACACTACTGAGTGATTTTCTGTTCCCGTCATGCTACCCTGTTTAATCCGGTGAGCGCCGAGTGAGTAACCTTAGCAGTAAACTTGTCCGACACGTTCTTGCGATATCCATTTTTTCTATAATTACACGTCAATTACGGGAGATAGCTCGGTGCCGATCCTACTAGATCGGAGCATGGATTTTACGTGTTTAGTATTGTATTAATTTTTACAGAAAATAAATCAAGAAATTATAAATTATAATTTTAGGAGAAGGTTTTTAATAAAACTCATATAAAATCATATATATATATATATATTAACTAAATACCTTTAAAATCATAATAGAAATAAGATAGAATTTCAGCCAACCCTCATTGCATTACCAAGCATTACCCCTATCTTGTAATATTTATATGTAATGATCGAAAAAGGAATACCAGAACATATGACGTCCTGCAATTCCAATCCATGGCCTTTAGCAATCCAAGAACATGGGGTTGTAGACGTGGGAAACAAGCAGTATCGTGAACGTTGAGACATTTCGTGCCTTTGCCGCCTATATTACAGTCATTATCGGTCGAGACATTTTCTGAATTGTTGGTGAATATATGAGAACGAGAGCTCTTTTTTTTTTTTTTCATTTTCTGATTTCAAGAGCACGTTTATCAGAAAAAAATGGATATGAAAAATGATGAAAGTAGTAAAAACATTATAAAAAATACAAACACGTAGGATTAAGATTTAATAGAGGTATCTCTCTCTAATCACTTTATAGTTTCTTATCCTTTTTGTTAAATGATGAATACATTCACATTCAATCCCTTATTTTCCATCTTTCCTCCCGTACCTCCTAATAAATAGATAGAGTGATGGTCTTGACTGTAACATAAAATTATTATTATTGAGATCTTATTTTATAGTTAAATTCTTGAGTTGATATTAATAAAATTATATATAAAATGGTGATAAGCTTATGCTAGTTTTAGGAAGAAGAAGAAAAAAATTTAATTTAAAGGGTGCAATGGAATATAATATAAAACTGTTTTTTAATATTTATAATACCGGAGAAAAATAAACATAAAAATGAAAAGTAGAAAGATGAAGAGATTAAAAAATAATTTAGAAGTATGTGAAAATACTCTTATATTTTTTATAAAACCAAATATAATTTTATCTCTCATTTTTTCATGTTTATCTCCATAAAATACAAGTTGAGAAGCATAGGATTTTTTTCACAGATACCGGTCATGTTTTTCTCCTTTTTTATTCAAGAAAACAAGAAATGCAAATGAGAAAAAAGGAGGGACGAGGCGAGAGAAGAAGCAGCAGGGTTTGATTTGATGATCTGGGGGTGGGGAGCAGGAGATCAAGCAAGGTTCTGAGTTAATGTGACTGAAAATCGATTGATTGAATGAATGAATATGCTGGTAAGCAATATCGATGCAGTACAATCAAGTGAGCCATAAAAAAAAAAAAAAAAAGAATAAGTCATGTATAATGCTTCCTTTGACTGCCAAGAACCATCTCCTTTCTTTCTTGTCGAGGTAGCATCATATATGCTGTGGACTGTCCCACCCACCTTAGTATAAAGGCGAAGCAGCAACAGCAACAGAGATTCCAACGTCTTTTTCCCACAAAAATAATGAGATTCCAATTTCATTTAAAGAATCTCAGTCTTGTATACTGCCACGTCGAGCACCAGGCTGTGGTAAAAATGGAATAAAAACAAATATAAAGGAATTCTTGCTTTGGCAGAAGCAGAATCAGGGGAATGGAGGTAAAAACGACACTCCCTGTCTCAATAGTCTATAATTTATCATTCTTATACATATATATACTTAACGTAAACTATCTTTATATATGTATAATCTATGCACTGGAACGGAGAGCGCCATGGTTCTGCGAATAAATGGACTAAAAGGTTTCTTCTACTGGTCATGATCCCCAACCTAACCTCCAGCATGAAGGATTGTCTGGTCGGGGAATGTGACATGAATCGATGTCAGAAGCAGACGAGGCAAACAAGGTGCGGAAACTGTGAACCCATCTCATGCAGGGCAAGGAGAAAGAAAAAAGGACTGCGCGTACGTACGTGACACACTTGTCGTGCTTGTGACTTGTGAGCTGTGAATTTTATGGTAGACGACATTGGCCAACTATATACCACCGAGGTAAGGGCCATGTGAATTGCTAGCTTGTCCCCTCAAAACTCACCCACCTTTTCTTCAATGCACTCATCACCTCACTTCCTTGTTTTCTGCTTCAACAACATATAGTTTCCTTGTATCTGTATCCATTCAGGCAGTGAAGTAGAAGAACACGGAACAACAATGTTCAAACCATGGGAAAAAGGACAGGATGCACAATTCTCAATTTACCAGCACAGTACAAAGATAAGCAATTGTTTCGTTGAGATCACCCTGCAGCTATATATGTGCTCCTATTGGAATTCTAAGCAGACTACCAACAGAAACCACTCCCTCAAGACGACGTGAAATCGTAGGCCATCCACAATGAAAGATGGACACCAAGAACGTTAAAACCTCTCAATGGACATGAACGTTAAATTATGGCCAGTTTATGTAAAAATGAGACCAGACACTTCAAGAAGCAAAACCAGTTACAGCCAAAACACCAACCTGTTTAAAATCATAAACAAATGCAAATAAACTAAGTCACAAAATTGTCATACAGGAACGGCATTTCTAAGAAGCTCTGGAGAGAATCCAAACAAACACCAAACTGTTTAAAATCTTTGTCAGCATCACATCGTCACTTGGCATAAAAAGGCTCAACAAACCATGATTTGTCACAGGAAAACCCCTTCTTCCCATGATAAAAAGTATCGAGCCTTTTCATGCTTATCATACCGCAATCCCACTCCAAGGCTAGCAGACAACTACAGTTAAAACCAGTACAACGTTAGCCTTTATGCTCGAAAAGACAAGAAATTAATTTGTTTCTGAGGTTGCTTCGAGGTATAGTTTTAAAAAAGTAAGTTTGAAGCAGACGTGGTTAGATAACATTTAAATATTTATCTGATAAAAATTTTAAAAATTATACTTGAAGTTTATCCTTAATAAAAAAATATATAAAATATTTAATTGTGATTGTTTTTTAAAAATATATTAATTTTTTTATTTTATAAAAATTATTTTTGATATTAACACATTAAAATATCTGAAAATATAAAAAATTAATTTGAAATAAAGAAATAAAAGATTTTTTTTTTAAATTTTAAAAAATATTTTTAAAACATAAAAATAAATAAAATTTTATAAAACTTAATTAAAAAAATATATAAAAACTGCTTTATAAAAATTATATTTCAAATTTAATCTTTTAATGAATCCATGATATAAAATACAGTTTAGTATTTTAACAAACACGTAACTGTATTTTTTTAGATAATAAATGCAAAAACTACAACTAAACAAACGGACTTACTAGTCTCAATTAAGGATTACAAGAAACATACATCAGGATAAAAGTGGGAGCTCCGATTCTTGAATCTAGAACCTAACCAAAAAAATAACCAAAAAAATAAAGCCCCATGTTTGCATTTTAAAGAATTCCCAAATATAATATCAAGAAATCAATAATATATGTTGATCCTTCCACCCCGGCCATGAGAATTATTGTAATTAAATTCAAGAGAATTAGCTC